CCCCCCAAAATTTGCTGTGGCACCCACACAACGAACACTTAATCGGGCCCCAAGCCACCGTATTTCTGCATATGTCTTCCCTGAAAAACCAGTAGGGCACACAAGAAGTCGTCGATGCTGTAGCCTTGGGAAACATCTCGGAATAGAGGGCGTTGGGTGACCTTCTTTTTCCCCCTTATGATACATTTTGCAAAGTCCTCCACCTCGATTGGTGCGCCGCCAAATTAGCAGGTTTCCATCCTACAAGTAAACCCCCCCCCCTGCCGAGGCCGCGCCGTCCGCCCCCTCGACCATCGTCGATCTTGGCACGACGCCCGCGATCGACATGAAAAGGGTCCCTCCCTCCCCTTTTTGGCGCTAACGCAGCACCAGTGACACGTGAGATTTGCCAAGAAAACTCCTTGTATTTCGACTGTCTACTGTTCTGCCAAGTGGACGCAGACGAAGCCTCCACTAGGGGTAGTGCTCCTCTCGATGGTACATGTACACTACCGCACCAGGCCTGATGCCGAAGCCCGAGGATGACGGGCCGGTCGAGAAAGATGAAGGACCAGGGGGGCAAATCGAGAGTTCAGTACTATGCGGGAATTTGACAAGGAAAAAGAGAGACAAAAAAAAAAGGCGCTGGCGGATGCCGTGCGGGTGCTGGTCGCCCGGATGACGGGGGGGGAGAAGACTTGGTCACGGCCCTCGTGGGCCAATTGGGAGGCCGGGGCGAAAGGAGGCTGTGCTGCGCGGTTGCGTGGGGCGGCAACGAACGAGAGTGCTCGAAGGGCGCGAGCCACCAGCACTCTGTGTCTGGAGAGACGTAGCGAAGTGTTTTGGTGTACATGGTACGCCCGGGTTTGAGGACTCTGGGACTGGAGGGAGACCTTCGCTTCGGAGTGGCCTGAATCAAGCAGTTGGTAGTGGCGAGGACATGTCGAGTCGTGGATACCCTTTTTTTCGACTTCCCTGGTGGGACCGTAGTGTAGTGTACACTGTTGGGGTTTTGTTCGGCCTTGTGGACTGACTGTTGATCGACCTTCTAGTAGCGACTGGTGGACATGATCTTCTTCATTCTCCACCATCTGATCTTTGAGGGTTCGGATGTTGAAACGAGTACCAACGTGTCGATCTCTCTACTGTACTGTCTGTACTGATGTACATGTAGTCTGTCTCACAAGAACAGGACTCGATTCTGACCGGGTGCTGGCGGGCCGCGACTCAGTGCCGGTCTTCAGCTTCTTCCCGTCCAGCTGCCGGGACCAACGTCTTCGGGTCAGCAGCAGCAGCTTCGCCTGTATGAAGCAGGAAGGCAACGGCCTTGGCGTGCCCAAACCTGATGGCGTGCATCAATGGCGTCCTCCCCAGATTGTCCGTCACATCAGCCGACGCGCCTCTCTCGATGAGAAGCTTGAGCATTTCCGTGTCACCTCGTGCAGCAGCCCAAGCCACCGCCGTATGGCCGTCGTGGTCTGCACTGTCGATGAGTGCTCCGTGGAGAAGGAGAAGCTCGAGCGTGTGAGGGCGCCTCGAGCGAATGGCCTCGGCCTCCAACGTCAGGGCATCTCCACCCGGGACCGTTCCCGATTCCATCTCTGGAGTTGATGCGTGGGCAAAGCCGATACTGTCAGCCGGCGAGAAACGCGCAGTGTCCTGCGGAGAGGACATCTGAGTGGATCCCATGGCGAGGGAGAGGACATCAAAGTTCGCATGGCCTGCTGCGGCGGTGAACACCAGTGGGGTCTGCGACCAGGCGTTCCGGGACTCGACATCGGCTCCTCTCTCCAGCAGTCGGTCGACGATGCCGCTGTGGCACGCTCCTGCCGCGTAGTGCAGTGGTGTGAGGAGGCTTTTGAGTTCCGTGGACGCACACTGCTGGGAGGGAGTTGGAACAAGTTGTGGACAGTTGGCGTGTTGCGGAGTGGCATCTGCTCCTGAGATGGCCTCGTGGCCATGTTCCACGAGCAGGAGATCCACGATCGTCTCGTGGCCATTCTCAGCAGCGTAGGAAAGTGCGTTTCTCCCGTATGCGGACTCGTGCCTTGCGTCAGCTCCTCGCTGCGACAGCTGGATAGCTATTGCGTGGTGGCCATTTTCGGCCGCATGGGAAAGTGCGGTTCGGCCGTCGATGGACTGGTGATTAACCTCTGCTCCTGCACCGAGCAAGTCTGCTGTGATCGTATCATGCCCTAGGCTGGCTGCCATTGCAAGGGGGGCCTGGCAAAATCTTGACGAAGCATTCGCAGATGCTCCGGCATTGAGTAATATTCTGACGATGCCTGTATGGCCTCCTTCGATGCCACAGGTCAGGGGATCGGTTCCTTGCCATGGAGCGGCGTCTGCTGCGGCTCCGCTGCGCAATAACGCTTCCACCATGACGTCTGACCCTTTGGTGGCATAGTAAGCGAGCGCGGACATGTTCGACGTTGAAAAGTCGTGATCGCTGTGCTTCACCAGAAGCTCCGCCAACTCCTCGCACGCCTGGTGCTCCTCGGCATGGTCGGGCGCATCGACGCCACCCTGGATCGAATCACGCCGCGCGCTCTTGCTCGCTTCGAGCACTACTGCGATGACTTCAGGGTAGCCTGCTTGACAGGCATGGGTCAACGTGCAGATGCCCGAGTCGTCTTTACTCATGGCCAACTGCGCATCGACTTCTAGCAGCATAGTTACCGTCCTTTTGTGATTTGAGATGCAGGCTTCTACCAGATGCGGCGTACCGGCCTTGAAAACGTGACCAGACTTTGATCGAAGTTTCGGGCTCCTGGACAAAACCTTCAGAGCAAGCGAATTTCTGTTACTCAGAAGATGCCGGATGAGGTGATCTACATGGCTCGAGAAGTCTTGGTAATGCCACGAGACAGCCGCGAAAATTTGCAACAGCGTGGAGGATGCGGCGAATAGATCCGATGTAGCTAACAGTGCATTACCCTCCGCCTTCCGCATGTGAGGTTGAAAGTCGAATTCACGCCCATCTGGAACCAGTGGAGACGGTGCGTTGTCGCATTCGCGTTGTACGTCAGGAATGAGATCCTCGAAGCCACAGTATGAAGCTTGCATATCGAGTATCTTTCTCAAGACGTCTCTGTTGTCGCGGGCCACGGCCACCATGAGTGGCGAACCGTAATGATAATGCGCGCCAGAGTTGACAAAGCATGCGTGCTTGGGCGCATGAGTATGGCCCCAAACGAGTTCGAGTAGTGCAGGCCGGTTGCCTTCTGCCAAAAGGCAATCAAGACCACTCTGCTTGTAACGGCGCGTCTGGCGGCCCAACAGGATATTGAGTACGCTGAGCCAGTGCTGGAACTGAAAGTCGCGGAGAAATTTGTTCTGCGGAAGCCCTGCCTGCTGAGCCTTTTCCGCATGGTGAAAGACGTGTTGAACGGCATATCGCAAGAATGGGAACATGCGCTCGCAAGTTTCTCGTAGAAGCCGGCTCTCAGTAGTAGTATGGGCTACTGGCAAGTCCTTGGCTACAAAGTTCTTCATCTCAATCGAGTTGAATACATGATCGATATAGTTGGCGCAGCATTTTTCAGCCTTTCCTGACTTCTCCCTCCCACATCGTCGGGTACTGAGAATTCC